TAAAATAATTTAAAAAAAATCTTTTTCGATTTAATACTGGCAGCTAACTTTGTTAACGCTACAAAGAGGAAAAAAATTATGCCTATAATTGTATAAACACGTATGAAGTGGAGCTTCTTTACGACCTATCATTCTTCTTTTATTTTATATTTTAAACAAGTAGGTTAAACAATAATATATTCATGAAGCTCTGGCGGTGAAACGTTACAAAGAAACATGACTAAGAAACGTGACATTTTTTATTTTTAATACCGCACTTTTCTCCATTACGTCGTATAAAGAAGTTTCACTTCAAAAATTATTTAACAAAAGTTGTTTTGCGCTTAACTTAAGATGTTATAGCCGTTACAATATTGAATTTTAAATGTATATTATATGTATATACCTACAGTTCAAGTTCAATAACAAAATTCAAAAAAATGTGTTAGCCAACATGTTTGCGAAGCCAAAATAGCTTTATTTGCCTGACAAATCAAGAGTTCAAGGATATTGGAGCAATGTTTGTCGCTAATGAATATTTAGTCATTAGAGTTGTGTAGTTGCGGGGTGAAAAAAAAACATCGCTTTACCTCGAGTGTGTCGGGTCGAGGGTGTCACAAAATCGGTTAAGGCATATATTATATAGTTATATAACATACATAGTTATGTATGACGTGGCTTATTGGTCAAAGACCTGATTCTGAGCCAATAATTGTGCAAAAAAGAGCAACAATTTTCTTTGGGAGTTGGCTGTCCCCGTGTTTTCGCACTACATTCTGGCCTATCGGTAATCAGAATCAGTTGATGTCGTGTTCAAAATTAGTCTATGGCTTCTTATACGTATATACTTTATTACGTGGTAGAGCCATGCTGCAGCTAATTAATGGTAGTAGCACGAATGTGTCGGCTCGACCGGGGAAGGACCACGCTCTCACAGAATACCAGCGTAAAATAGCAGCTTAATACTGCTGTGTTTCGTATGGTGAGTGTAGAGAACCGGATACCCTTTTTACTAGAAACGAGGTATTCCAACTTAGTCCTCACGGGTGACAACGCATTTACATTTTAATTCTTAGTCAAAGATGAACCGAAAATATCCAATTACCATGTTAATTACGTGGATGATAAACAAAATAACACGTAAATTACGTACGATACGTAAAACTATATCCGGTGTCATATCTTCTTATGTCAGACCACGAATAATTCTGAAATTTGTTTCGGTATTTAAAAAAATCACATTTAATCTAATTGCGCCACATTATAATATTAAATTAATTATGGAGCTAATTAGCATTGGCATATGATACGGATAATATGTTCATATTTCTATAATTTCTAAAATTACTTATTCATTTCCAGTTTTTAAAAGTGAATGTAAAAATTAAGCAGTTAAATAATGCAGTTTTAAACGTGCCCCAGTTTAATTTCTCTTTAAGTGAATAAACTTACAGTTTTACCGTATTATTTTACAATTGCTCAAAAAAAACCGTTTGCTCAAATATTTATGCCCATTATGTTTCACCACGTTTGGAACTGACCCAGCCTTTATAACCTATTTTTTTTATTCACATATAAAGGGCTTTGTCGCTGATGCGATTATGCCGCCCTGGTAGTTACAAAAAAATCTTAAATATAATAATTAACTAACAAATAAACTTATTATACTTACTAGTTACTTAATCTCTTATTAACTAACAAATACAGTAACCTTTATTTAAGATGATAACAATAACAATCGTGTTGTGGTAATGTAGGAATATACTTTATCCCATAACCGTCCCTTGGGTGTCGTAAGAGGCGACAAAGGGAAACTAAAACAGAAGATGGTCAGCAGCATCTTCCTGATAACAAATCAAAATAATTAAAAAAACTGCGGCTGCCAACATAGCAGAAGCATGGCAACTATAGCAAAATTCTCCTTATGAGACAACCTATGAGTGAGACCTTTAGGCATTCAGCAATGGACTTTTATAGGCTGTAATAGAATAATAACATTAAAGCATAAATAAACTAGCTGACCAGGCAGACGTTGTTCTGCCCTTTTCGACGACCCTTCATTTAAAAAATCCTTAAATTCGTAATAAAAAATATTGAGTGTCACTTATCAGGATAAAAACTATCCTATCTCTCAAGTTGGACCAAACTGCACAGAGTGTGCAAAATTTCATTGAAATCAATTCAGTAGTTTAGGAGTTCATCGCGGACACGTATTTTTATATATAAAGATAAATATGCCCAAGTACTGCGGTGTTAATGAATCCATCAGCCCATTTCGTTCCGTGGGTGTGTGACTATCGGAAATACCACAACGATCTTATGGCTTGTATCTTATGATGGTACCAGGGCAGATGTTTACGCCAGACGTAAAATACCAACATTAAAGGCACGAGGGGTCAGGTAATGTGTTCACCAATATGAACGCTTAGTGATTATAAGAAATATGCGGCCGGGGATTGAACTCGGTTCGCTCACGCAGTAAGATGTTTTGGGCGAGTGCTAATCTCCATAAAAACAGTTCATTAAAATCTAAACCTTAAATGATATATAGCTAGACGCCATTTGCATGATTTAAGAACGAATTAATTAGTAAATTATTCATGCTCATTATTTCCAACACGCAAACCATAGTTACCCTAAATTAGTGACTCAACTCGGAACTTATTTTCACCGTTACGTGTAGATTAATATGTGATATAACAGTAGAATGTAAACATTTAGTTTATAAGGGTCTTCTAATAATAATAACAAAAAACAGCTTTCTATGCAATAAAGTAACACTGCTGCGTTCCCATTAGTGCCTGTAGTGTATTCTGTGATAACATTCTCCCTTAATACAATTATTAAATTATTGTTATTATTTCTGCATGTTTGACGAATTAAAAAATATTTACATTGACATGTGAAGCCCCCAGCATGCATATGTGTAGCGCGGCGGACATTCCCTTGCCATTTGAAATGACGGTCATTAAGGACATACTCCTTAATGACCGCATTTTTTATTTAGGGCAAAATCTGAATGACAGGGTGAAAAATTGTGTGATAAGATGGTTTGCAAGATGATGTTGTGACCAGGATCAAATAAACATTAATTTTCTACCGACTTCAAAAAGGAGACGGTACTCAATTCGACTATATTTTTTTATGTGTTACCTCATAACTTTTTACTGGAAGAACCGATTTCGATGATTCTTTTTTTATTTGAAAGCTGGAGCTTTACATGTGGTCCTGTATAAATTATTAAGGTCTGACCAATAGTTTTTGAGTTATTCTTAATAATTTATATTGAAGTCGGTTGTACAACATTTTAAATTTTAAATTATTATATATTAGAAGAAGAACAATTTTGTGTATAGGTGGTAGGAGTATGACTCTTTTTCTAAGTCCGTCTGACTGTGTACCATCCTCTTACCTACTTTTACTATCAGATAGCTAAGCATACTTTTATCGCACTGCTGTGTTCCGTTCTGATGGTATAGAGAGCTAGTCTAATTACAGGATGTTTTGGATTTGTTTGGAGTTGGCTGCAAGTGTCCATGGACACCTACAGCCAACTTCGAACAAAAAGACAAAAGAAGACTTCTAGCCATTAGGCGCAGGTTCGTTTGTCACATCAGTTTTATTAGAGATCTGAAAAATTAATTTGCTTATATCCGGGTAATAAAATAAAACTACATATATGTCTTCCCTATTCGAAAGAGGAGCACCTCCCACCCTCCCCCAATTACGTGCACTATCGCCGTCAACACTAATCACAATCAGCATAAACAGCATAAAAAAAATTAAGATCTCTAATATTCTTCCTCCGCAAAGCAACGCCTGATTCAATTAACTTCAGTTTTATAAGAAAAATATATATTGTTTTACATATTACTTAAGCAAACTATTGTAAACGAGAAATGTTTAATAATAATTTAAAGCATTTGCGTAAAGAAATTTCAAAGTTTTAGTCTTAATTAACTAAATATAATGACAAAAACAAAAACTTGAATGAAGGCCGTAAAATAAAACGTCATAGCTACTTAAAAAAATATCTACACCACCCTTTAGTAGGTTGTGACAGATGTTTCTAATTTTGTAATTTTAACCGCAATGTAAACCGCAGTCTCACGTTCTTATTTGCCGATGAAGTATTTTGTATAATATGCTGTTCGAAGGGACAGCTTGTTCTAATCTAAATTTTTTGAATTGAGCCATAATTCAAATATCGTGGCACTGGTTTTTCCAACCGCCTATAGTAAAAACGTTTTTTCTAAGGCCATGCCCTAAGTGATACTTCGACTATTGGCAGCATACTGGCAGTTTGTTTGCAGTTTTAATTTAACTCCTGGTTGTGATTATCCCCGTATCTCTGACACACAGGGGTGCCACACCATAAATTTTAAAATATATAAAATTTATACGTAATTGAAAGTTATATTCTTTCTAGGTTAGTTCGCTATCTACAATTATTATAATATTATTTTCATCTTAATTTCATATTTTATTCATAAATAATAATATAGAAACCAAATGTTAGATTATAATTAACGTAAAAATTATATCATACTTAGAGTATTATAAAATGGTCTCGTATTTACTCCATATCAAATTGAAAAAAAAAATATTATAAAATAATTATGTTAGTAACAGTACCGTGATTTTTTTAATATAAATTATATATTAAATATTAATAATATCCATAATAATTGGGTTAAATAATGCAAACATACATAATACGAACATTGATTCTTGATTTTACCAAAAACGTTAAGCACTGTATGAGTACATCCTCTGTCGTTTACTGTCACAAATTGCAGATAGACAAATATTCATGGAATCTAAATGCTAATTTACTGAAATATTTATCTCGCACAGGAATCGTATCTGCGACCAGCAGCATTAATCAAACCCTGCTACAAAACTGTCACTGTATCCTAATTTCATTATTACTATAAATTAATCAATGTGATTACAATATAAGTTTACTGATTAAATAATACACAAATATTAAACTAACCGATCATTTTGTTTGTCCACAGGTCACAAGAACTAACTTCTTCCGACGCACCAAGCCCACCATAGCTCCAGTCACCACAGACGCCAACACGGCCCCAACAGATAACATTGAAACCACCACAAACAAATACAATAGCCGCGGGATTTCCAAATTCAAGTCCCGAAACGATGGTGCGGAAAAAGACGTCCCGAAGATCGAGAAAACGCGGGAAGAGGAAAACGTTGCAGAAATACAAACTCGGCGGCCATATTTGAACAGCACCGCGGCGCGTAATGACCAAACTACGCCGCGCAATTTTACACGAAGAAGGCTTGGTGGGGCATACAGTGAGTCCGGTTTTATTTCTAACGCAACTTGCAACGCTACTTTCAAAAACTGCATGCCTTTTTCGCTTTTAACACATTGAAATACAATCTATATCAGCGTGAATGTTTAATTAATTATTGATAAAGCTGGGTGGGTCTGAGTTCGTAGATCTGTATAGGTCTCAAAGACCTAGACTTATAGAGCCACTGTGGATGTTTAATATTGATAACTGCGTCATAGTTGACTTCTTAAAACTAGTCTTAAGTTTTTTTTTAATATTATGAATATTTTAACATTCTCACTAATAGCGTAAATACGCATTATTTCGTATGCTTAAATTAAAATATGATTTTTTTTTAATTTAGGCATAGCAAATCCTTAAATATAGTACCTATTTTTCGTATTTAGACATTTCTAGAACAATGCAGGTCATCTTGCATTTTTTATAAGTGGAGGGGTGATAAACGAGCACACAGTATTATAAATGGATGCTGTGATCCATAGAGACCTACATCTATCCTAATATTGTTATCAATGCAGATACGTTATCATCCCTAACGACGCAGTAATAATTTTTATACGTGGTAGAGCCATGCTGCAGCTATATTAATAAGTATAGTTGTAGCAACAATGGGTCGGATCGACCGGGCAAGGACCACGCTTTCACAGAATTCCAGCGTAAAACAGCAGCTTAATGCTACTGTGTTTCGTATGGGGAGTGTAGAGCACCTGAGACCTTTTTTACTGTAAAAGAACCATTCCATCCTAGTCCTAACGACTGACAACGTATCAGCATTTTCATTCGCAAATGAGGATAGATGTGGGTGTCTATGGGCCACAGCAACCACTCACCATCAGGTGGACTGGTGCCCGTTTGTCACCCTTATTCTATAAAAAAAAATATTATGTATTCTTTGCCTATGGACTGTGACGAAATGCCTCGGTAAACAGCTTGTTTACGTTGTATGCAACAAAGTACACAGATTAATAAGTATTACGTTGTTTCACAATATCACAGACCTCTATAAAGGTCGACTACAACTGGCTTTATCAATGAAATGCATCATACCTATTTATAACGTCTGCAAATACAGTTTGAGACAAGTTTTACATCCGAAGCACTAACGCTTTCACTATTAAATATGAAGTAGCGAACGTTTTGCGAATATTAACACGGGGTTAATTAATTATGTAGCCTTTTACGAGTAGAAAATATTATAACAACAAAACTCCAATCGAAACCCTTTTAACTTGGCAACATTTTGTAATGTTTTAATATTTTCCATTATTCTTATGACTTATCCACGTAATTTACTAGAGAGTATTATGCAAAATATCATTTAAATTAATATTGTCATCATTAGGGGCCTTTCAAGTATTACGTAAGCTGTCTTACGTGGAGGAGGGGGGGGGGGGGGGGTTCAATTGTTTCTTACTTTTGCTGACTTTACTTAGGAGATAATTCATACGTATGATAAAAAAATTGCAAAACAACAAAAATAATTTTAAAACAATATTTATAACCTAATTTAATAAATTTATTTTTGTTATTTTGTTTTGATATACCAAATTTCATTTCATATTTCTTACAAAAATAAATAAATAACTTTTGTGTTGTTAATTGTGTAACATACATGACATTGTAAGCTGTTATTTTTAAAAAAAGTACAGCTGGGTTTCTTGCTGGTTCTGGAGTGACTTTCAATGAGTATTATTTATAATCTATATTGAATAAAAAAAGTTTCTGTTTCTGTTTCTGTTTCTGTTTCCGAGAATAACTTTAACTTTACACTACCACATGAGTAAATAAACTATTCTTACGTCTCATTATTTAGGGGAGTTCGCAATTTTCTTATTTTTGCTTATACATTTGCTTACGTTATACTCGAACGCCCCCTTACATTTATTTAGATATAACCGATAAATGATGTATTAACTGAATCTAAAATTACTAGACTTTTCACGGAAAACTATGGTTCTAGGAACACCTTTTCCTCTTATGTTCTGCTCACTCCACTACATAATATTATATTTCTGTGTAATTGGAGTCTCACTTTAAAACCCCTTACCTCTACTTACTAGCGCTCTTGAATAAGCACAATCAGTCCTTTTTTATGGCTCCGTAGCATAGTAACTTAGCAATGAGCTGCAACGCTAGGGGCCGCAGGTTCGAATCCCGCACGGTCATTGAAAATTTTATGTATATAAACTGCCTCCACAATACAGTAAACATTCCTAGTGTGAATGGAGGCAACGTTTATGCAAAATAATAAAATAAAAAATAAATAAAAAGGAAGTCATTAAAAATCTTTCTCTCTCACTTTCTCCTTTGATTTATATTCATTGATCTATCGCAAAAAGTCTATTGTCTCTTTTATGTATAATATAATAACGCTTTATTACTATAGTAGACCCTTCTGATAATGTTTCTGCTCTTACAATTAAACATAAAGGGCAAGCTAAACTAACCGGGCAAGTGCGAGTCGGACTCGCGCATGAAGGGTTCCGTACCATCGCAATACACGTTTTTAGTAGGGGAGCCCTTTTTAATTTTTAATTTTTTTTAATGATCTGAGAAATACATATTCTATGAAAATTTCAACTGTCTACCTATTACGGATCATGAGCTACAGCCCGTTGACTGCCAGACGGACGAACAGTGGAGGCTTAGTAATAGGGTCTCGTTTGTTACCCTTTGGGTACGGAACCCTAAAAAGTGTTAAAAAACTAAAGCAGTGCCTTCACATTACCATAACTCTTTTGAAAATATGGCCTCAAGATTCCGCGCTATATTTCGACAAAAATTTTGTACGTCATTCAACTAGTTAATGCCCTAATAACTGCTGTATATTAAGTTCCCACGCGAACACGTTCGTTGCCTACAATAAATAACACGTATCGTTTTTGCAACATCCCGCGGTTGCGTTGGTCAATCCAATTTCACAGATATTTGGATGTGAATAAGCGACTATTTGGAACTGTTATAATCACGTGTTGATTACATTTTTTTCATTTCCGAGTGTCTTAGTGCCTTACGTAACTTTATGAATGATTCGTAATCGAATCTCTAGTTATGTACATGCGAAAAAAATATTTGTAACCCATATCGTTTATTATGATATTCATTAATTACTTACTTGGTTATCCACCCATTACAGCTTATAAAAGAGCCAGGCTTCCCTCATAGATTGCCTCATATGGGATTTTGCCATAGTTGCCACACTTGGCAAGCGGGTTTGCAACAGTAGTTTTATTATTTCGAGTTGTTATCGGGAAATTGCTGCTGCCTATCTCCTGTTTCATTTTCCCTTTGTCGCTTCTCACGACACCCTCGGGATGATATGGGGTTGTGGATATTCTTACACCGCCACTACACGGTTACTTTATCACCTACTTTATTACTATTATGGTTGTACCTCGTTACAATCTGCAAATGCAAATACTAGTACTTGGATGGATGTTAATTGTAACGAATTCGTATTAACTACTAAACCTACTTTCAACAGCAATTGCCCTAGGCACATTTTAGTATTTTTGCTAAGCTGTAGCACCCTATTCTGCCTACAAGTCCATATAGGTAGGCACCATGCTCTATTTCTACCGCCTGCCAGCAGCACTGCGTGCATTGCTGTTTTTCCTTCTAATGGGTGTACCTCATCCTTAGGCCTCAGAGGTGACGACGTGTCTGTAGTCTTTTTTATTTTTAATAAACTACTAGCTGGCCAGGCAGACATTCTGCCCTCTCTCCTATAAAAAAAGACCCTTTGTCCTATATAAAAAGACTCTTTCTCCTATGAAATAAAAGCGGCCAAGTGCGAATCGGACTCGCCCATGAAGGATTCCGTATCAGCAAATAACATAATATAAAAGTTCTTGTAGTTCGTTGTAACTTTGATCGATGTTTTAATGATAGTGTATTTTTTATTTTTATATTTGAGTTGTTTGAATGGAAGGTAAATTGCGGTTTACGATTTATGACGTATTAAAAAAAACTACTTACTAGATCTAGTTGAAACTAATTTTCCGTGGAAGTTTACATGGTAATGTACATCATATATTTTTTTTAGTTTTATCATTCTCTTATTTTAGAAGTTACAGGGGGGAGACACATTTTACCACTTTGGAAGTGTCTCTCGCGCAAACTATTCAGTTTAGAAAAAAAATGATATTAGAACCCTTAATATCATTTTTGGAAACCTATCCATAGATACCCCACAAACATTTTGAAAGTATGGGGCACCCCCAAATTTTTTTATTTTTTTTTTCTATTTTTGTGTGAAAATCTAAATGCAGTTCATAGAATACATCTACTTACCAAGTTTCAACAGCATAGTTCTTATAGTTTCGGAAAAAAGTGGCTGTGACATACGGACAGACAGACAGACAGACATGACGAATCCTTAAGGGTACCGTTTTTTGCCATTTGGCTACGAAACGATAAAAATGACACTGTCCTATAAAAATGACCCTTAGTCATATAAAAATGACTCTTTGTCCTATAAAAATCCTGAAATTCACGATGAAAAATATTGAGGGTCACTTAATCGGAATAAAAACTATACTATCTCTCGAGTTAGAGCAAGCAATGCACATTTACAAAATTTCATTAATATCGGTTGAGCGGTTTCGGAGATTAGTGTGAACGGACATCGTGACACGGGATCTTTATATATTAAGATTATATGCGTGCTTGATTACTATTTCGCCTGATGTTAAGTAGTGACGTTTTAAGTTATTTGCTAATATCCGTTACCGTTGCCTAATAAAGGCCACTGCTGAACATAGACTTCCATATATTGCTTCAAAGGTAGGATATTTGCCATAATTACTACGCTTGCGAAGCTGGTAGGCAAGCGCAGTATTTTTTTAGTCGTTTTTAGAAAGACGCTGCTGCCAATGTCCTGATTTATTTCACGGGATAATATGAGGTAGTGGATATTCTTTCACCGCCACTACACGGTCTGCACTACCCGATTTGCTGATGTCATTGGGTTACGCTAGCCACTTACCATTGAGTTGA